TAACACAATAAAGACATGGAACTTCGAGCATGCCCAGAGAGACTGGTTCCACTCGAAACTGGGCAGAGGGAAGGCTTTCCCATTAAGACCCATTTGTCTTTTTTGAGGGAGGGGGGTCAAAAGTAAGCCCTAAGAGGGGCGCCTGGGTGGCTCAGTCAGTTGAGCGTCCGACTTTGGCTCAGGTCATGATCTCATGGTTTGTGGTTTTGAGCCCCGCATCAGGCTCTGTGCTGACAGCCAGCTCAGAGCCTGGAGCCTGCTTCAGATTCTGTATCTCCCTCCCTCTGATCCTCCCCTGCTCATGCTGTCTTTCTTACTCTCTCAGAAATTTAAAAAAAAAAAAAAAAAAAAAAAAAGTAAGCCCTAAGAAAGGGCAAAGGGTAGAAGGAGAAACCCAGGAATCTGTCAGGACTCTTTCCATTGTAGTTGAAAGAAAGCAACTGAACGGTTTGGCTGATGAAGGAAAATGTGTTGGCTCATGTAACTCTGAAGTCTAGCTTCAAGCATGGCTGTATCCAGATACCAAAGGATGGTGTCAGGAAACTATTTCAGCACTGCTGTCACATTCTGGCAACTTCTCCACTCTAAATGTGGCTACAATATACTTTCTCTCCACCTGATGAGCAGCCCCAATGGAAAGAGAACCTCTTTTCCCATAGGTCCAGCCAAAGTCCCAGAACCAGCTCTCATTGGCCTGCCTCAGGTCACATGCCCGTCCCTGCACCTATCACTGCGGCCAGCATGGCTGGCATGCACTAACTGGTTGAGTAGGGGTCACTCTCAACTCATGAGTCTAGAAATCGCCTCAGCCCCACCTGAACCAGCAGGATTTAGAGTGAAAAGGGCGAGTTCCCAAAGGAAGATCAGGGTGCCATTCCAGAAGAGGAAGAAATGACTGCTGGGCAGCAACAATGGAAGAAGTCTCCGTGGGGCTGCAGCTCGGAGGGTTTGCTTGGCCCTGACTCACTGTCACCACTACCTGCTTTCATTTCCGTCTCCAGCTCCGTGTAACACCAGACTCAGAGCCAGGGGACCCCAGCGTCTTGCCCACCTCCCATCCACCTGTGGAGGAGACGTTCATCAGCCCCCCACTCTGTCGTCTACCCGATACGACACCCTCACCCACTCCCAAGGGAGGAGTGGCCCCCTGTGAGAGAATAGAAAACATATGTATTGGTCTTGGGGCGCCTGGGTGGCTCAGTTGGTTAAGCGTCCAACCTCAGCACAGGTCTTGATCTCACAGTTCATTGGTTCAAACCCTGCATCAGGCTCTACACTCATGGTGGGAACCTTGCTTGGGATTCTCTCTGTCTCTATCTCTCTCCCTGCCCCTTCCCCACTTGCTCTCTCTCTCTCTCTCAAAAAAAAAAAAAGAAAGAACTAAACATTTTAGAAAAAGAAAGAAAAGAAAATATATATACTGTTCTCTGCCCCTGGCTCCTGACACAGAAGTCTTAAAACCCTTGGAATGTCCTGTGACAAAAGACAATAAAGATGTCCTTTGTTATGTTAATGAGGTGGCTTTGGGACCTCATCTAAGGATGGAGATTGACTGCCAGGAGAATCAACCATGTGATTAGGGGGCTGGAACTTCCTGTCACAGCCCCTGGCTTCCTGGGAGCTGAGAGGGGGCTGGAGGTTGAATCAACGATGAACCGATGAACCAATGGCCAATGATTAATCAGTCGTGGCCATTGGTGCCCGTGTGGGGATTTGGGGATCCCGGCACTCCTGTGGGGGACAAGGACGGGCCGCACCCTTTCCCCACACCTGGCTCTATGCATCCTTCCTTCTGACCATCCCTCAATTATTCTAGCCTTTTATAACAAACCCTTAACCTGTGGGATCCGATGCTGTCTCCAAATAGTGTCAGAACTGAGTATTTGTAAGTCACCCAAATGGTGTCCCAAGAATTGCTTGTTGGGAGGGTGGGCCCCCCCCCCCACCCCATGCACACACTGAACTTGGTGCTCAGAACCTATCCCAGCCTCCGGTGACCTAAGAATTAGTTCAGGTGCTCCAAGACCCCAGAAAACAGACTGACACAGAGGCAGCTCCTCGTCAGTACTTCTGCTTTTTTCCATCTGCTACTGGAAACGTCCTCATGCAATTATAGAAATTCTTCTGACAGGCTCACGTATCCATCTCCGGGACGCTAGTTGATGGAACGAATAAGCCCAGGACTGCAGCGGCTCACTGTAAGCAGAGTGTTTTTCTTCTCCCAGATGTAAGAGCCCGAGGGGGCGCCCCTGGTCAGCGGTGACGCCCTCCTCAGGGACTCAGCCCAGCCTCCTATTCTGTGACGCCACCCTCCCTAGGTCCCCAGACCCTTTGGCACCCCGCTGGATGGGGAGCTCAACCTGCGTCCCAGAGGCCCCAGCCCAGAGTGACCGCACACAGGGTCACTCACGTTCCATTGGTGACTCTAGTCACAAGACCTCGCCTGGGAGTGCAGGAGACTGGTAAACGGGGCAGCTGCTATGACAGTCCCCACGCTGGGGACACACGTTTCTGAGGGTGTCCGGCCATCTCTGCCCCAGCACAATCTTACCATTTTATCACCAACCACAGGCAAATTGCTTTTAAAGTTGACTTACACTGTGTGTATTAACACTCATGCTTCAGTTCCTCAGTTACGATCACCGTGTGAACCGAGAACGTGCGGCCTTGCAGTGACCCAGGACACTGCCAAGTCCCACGTGGCCGGGAGCCTGGGGTTCGCAGCGTCTGGATCCCGGGGCAGGCCCCCAGGACAGGATTCCCCCAGGGCAGCTGGGTCACAAGCGATGTGGATCTTACATGGCACACGGAGGAGTCAGTGTCCAAACTGTCCCTTTAAAACCCCCCAAACGCAGTCTCCTCCTTAGAAAGTCTGGTAGAAAGAGGCGTTTTGAGGGCACTTACACAGACCTCACTGCAAGTGAGCAAGAGCGTGTCCCTGTGCGACATTCCCGCGGTGCCAAGCGCCCCACCGGCGTCCCCAGGATGTGTGGGGGCAATGCAGATCCGGGTCTGTGTCTCACCAGGCTCTGGATGGCCACGTAGCCCCGCAGCTGGAGGACGCAGGGACTAGGAAGCCACTGTATGGGTTCCTGGATCCACCCCCTATTCCGTCTGAGACCTTGAACATGTTACTAGGCCATGCAAGTGCCTCATCTGCACCACCGGGTTAACAGTATCCCCCACCTCCTAAGCGTGTTGTGATCACCTGATGCCTTTGAAGGGCTTGACCCAGTGCCTGGCACGCAGAGCCATCCAGTCAACAGTTACCTGTTACTGAGTTTTCAGCTTCTGGAAAAGTCAAGTCTACTGATGTACTTATTCCCGGGCTTTGGGACACGTTGGTGCAGGATCTATCAAAGGGCGTGCCTTCGGGGAGCACTGGGAAGACTGGGTTTTGAAGTCCTGGAGGGAGAAAGGCCAGGGAGCCTTCCTCCTCCTCCGAGGAGGAGTCCCAACACCCAGTAGTGGGGACAGCGATGGGCCGCAGTGATGTCAGGACCAGCCTTTGCATGAGGACAGGGCAGGGACAGTGCCGTGTGCAGAAAACCATGTGACACAGTCACCAGCGCCAGCCCCTCTGGCCACACACATGTGTGCAGAAGTGTGCACACACGCGCGTGCACACACACACGTACCAGTTCCATTTCTGGGAAACTTTCCCACTGGAACCCACTGGCTTCGTAGACAAATACTTACAAGTAGGGAAGCTGGAAACAACCCAGAAATCCAACGATAGGGGACCCATCATGCAAGAAACGGGAAGCCACAGCATCAAGCTCCCGTTAAAAACGATGAGACGGGTCGCTATTTATTGAGAGGGGGAAACATTTCTGATCCAGCCTTTAGTGGTAAAATCAGACGGAAACAGCTTTCCCGGTTAAGAAAGCACACAGCCTCTGCCACGTAGCAAGAACTATAACAAGGGCTTTACATATATTGATTCATTTTCACCCCCACACCAACCCGAGACCTGGAAACCGCAAGGGGATCGTGCCCATAAACGGAAAGCAGAGTCTGGGTCCCCAATGGCATCTCTGAGCTGTGCACTAGCCCTGGGTCACCTCCATGGTGTGCCTGTTACAGCAAACAAACCCCACTCTCCTGGAGCCCAGCATTAGCGGGGCTTCCTGCTCTTTGCAGCCAGACGCCAATACACTTTGTAAATGGCAAGGTGGGCGTCTCACCACGTTCTACAGGCGTCTGATCTCTGCTTGCTGCCTCGCACCAACACCATCTTGACCATTGCTATAGCTCCAGCTCTGTCTGCTGCCCCTGCTCCCTGCCCCCTCCCCCAGGGGAGACCCCGGACCCTGGGGAAGCCAGCATGCTCCCAGGGCCATTCCTTCCTGAGCTCATGGCTCAGTCAGGTTCATGGCCAGAAAGACACCCTGCGTCTCTTCTGCTCATTGCAATGCGGTCACGTCAAAGCAGCCCACAGGACCTGAATGCAATTTTCTCATTGAATTATGCTAAATCCTTCAGGGAAGGTGGCGAAATTATTTAAAACCTATAAAAACTAAAGCAACATTCTGGCTCTATATTTCAACTTTCTGATCATTATTTAGAGTTAACCTTTTCTGCTGCTAAATCACAAACCCATTTTGCCCTATACCAGGCAGCATCGGCCATAAGGCACAGGGAAGGAAAAAAAATATTCCGGCACAGAGTATGCGTGGTGATTGCCTCTTGGGCTCAGGGAGATAATAGAAATCGAGGTGGCATTTTGCTCTTAGAAATCAGAAGTATCGGGAGGTGATTCATTGAAGCAGCAGAAAAATGAATTGTAGCTGCGTTGTTATAAATATTAGAGCAATAGATTAGGGCTGAGGTGTGTTTCCGCAGAGTAACGCACTGACTGGCAAGATGAGAATTCACAGAGCAGGCAGACGAGGCACCGAATCCTGTGCCTGGGGTCTCAGGAAATTATTTATTTCCTCTGCGCCTCAATCCTCCCATATATAAAATGACAAATACATATATATACACACACACATATATAACTCATTCAATTAGGAAGTGAGTCCTATTTTTTATTGCTGTTTTTTAAGTGGACAAAACGAAGCACAGAGACGTCCGGTGACTTACAATCAGAAGCAGCAAAGCTAAGGTTGGGTTTCAAGTGGGTGGCTGCAGGGACGACACTGCCCTGCAAAGTAAATAAGACGATGAATATATATTGCTTAAGACAGTGCTTGGGAGATAGCAGGTGCTCAATAAGTGCTGGATGAATAACTTGTATAGTTTTGTATTCATAATCAAATATGTATAGTTTGCATAAATAAGTTGTGCCAATACCCTTATCAACAGACCAATCGAATTCCCATTTATCATTTTTCCAGAGCATGTACCACAAAACCCCATGGTCAGTTGGATGCCCCCCTGTTTGATGCTCTTACAGCCCCTGGTGTTTTCCCTTCATGGTATTTCCATGCAATTGATCATTCATGTGATTAGCTGGTCCATATGCAACTTCGGGCCCAGCCCCGTGGGCTGCACAATCACACGACTTGGTGGCCCGTGCCCACATCGCCAGCGCAAGCACGGCACCCGTTGTGAAGTATTCATTCAGTCAGCAATGTCGATTGTGTTTTTACCACGTGCTGGCTAGCGTTCCGGGCACTGAAATCAAAGCCCCCGCCCTCTGGATTCCAGCGAGGGCATCCAGACAGTAAGGGTATAAGCGTACAAGCAAGGACTCGGTACATCAGAGCTGCCTTAGTCTGTCTGTCTGGGCTGCTACCAGAAAACATCGTCGACTTAGCGGCTTAAAAAACAAAACATTTATTTCTCATGGTTCTGGGGGCTGGGACGTCCAAGATCAAGGTACCTGGCAGATCTGGTGTCAAATGACACCCCTCTGCCTGGTTTGCAGATGATCATTTTCTCAGTGCATGAGACAGAGCGCTCCAGTGTCTCTTCCTCCTATTATAAGGGCATTAATCCCATCATCAGGATCCCCCACCCTCGTGGCCTACTTACTTCCCAAAGGCCTCACCTCTTAATACCATCACATTGGAGGCTGATGTTTCAACACATAAATCCGTGGGGACTGACGTTCAGTTATAACAAGGGGCGTAAGTGTGGGGAGAATGACATGGCGAGGGAAGCTGGGGTGGGGACAGGGCATGAATGCAGGCAGTGCTCGGAGAGGTTCTCTGCCAGTCAGGAGGCCTGATGGAGCAGATGGATGGGACGGGTCACAAAAATATCTGCAGAAAGAGCTTCTCAGGCCCCGGGGCACACGGCACCTGCAAAGGCCCTGAGGCAGAAATGTGTTTCGAGCGTCCAAGGTTGGCATGGCTAGAATGGAGTAGGTCGGCTCGAGGAGTGAAGGAGAGGAGGTCAGAGGGCACGCACGGGGCAGCTAACAGATGGGTGGTCCTGTGAAATAACTGAAAGGAGAGAGAGACAGCACCCGCGTCGTTCTTCTCCATCACACAAACATCAAGTGAGCAACACAACCCCCCACCCCCACCCCCCGGCTGGCCAGCTCGGGAAACTGACAAGCTCTGAGCGACAAGTGCAAAATCTCCGAGTCTCCAGTCGAAAGAGGAGGGAAGGGGCCCGGCCACAGTCTCCCAGTATCCAAAGGGCTGTCACTACAGGGGTTTGGGGCCATTCCGGTGGCCAGGCTGGCACCAGGGGTTCATTCTTTCATGAAGGCAGAAGAAAGGGACAAAACTTCCAACACTCTGGTAGCCAGATCTCTTCTCCTGAAAAAATGCGGTAGACATACTTCCCTCTTTTCCTCCAGCAAAGCATGAGTGACATCTCTGGGTCTGGAACGTATGACAAACCCAAGAGACTGCAAGGTGGAGGCGAGAAGGCAGAGCAGTCAGGCGACTTGGGGCTCAAGGGAAAACACGAGAGTGAGTGGGTCCGCAGGGTTTTCCTTTCCCCCGACAGACCTCAGCCTTGGAAGCGGAGAAAGTGGCGATCGGGGAAGCCAACCGTCATGGACAAAACTACCAGTGACAAAAGCCTGATCCATGGCGCTGAAGGATGAGGAAGGGGGCGGCCAAGCGCAACAGGAAACTTCGAGGCAGTGACCCCACTATGCAGAACAGAAACCCGGGGCCCCACCATCACCCATACCCACAAAGGGAGAGCCTGTCTTCTCATGCTTCTGAGGCTGCGACGGGGCACCCCATGCCTCACACTGGGGTGACATCGGAGGAGTGAGACCAGGGGATAAACAAGCTGCCAGGTGGACCTCAGCAGTCCGTTGATTTTCTGAAACATCATTGTGGAAAGTGAAGGCACAGCATTTATGCCTAAATTCAACTCGTTACCATAAAAGTAAGGCAACAGAACAAAAAACAACATCTCTGATCCTCAATGGCAGAAAGAGCCCAGGGATCCCAAGCAGGCAGGTGGCCAGGGGGATTGTTTCAGGGATGCGTGTGCCAGTCACACCATCTGGACACAGGCCAAGGACTTTCATTCCAACTGTCAGACAAGAGTCGGTCTGAGATGAACAAACACAGAAAAAGCAGAGCCCAGTGATGAAGACAGACTGAATCCAAATGACATCCTTTTGAGGACCTGGATCAAGCCATACCTGAAGCCATTATTTGTCTCTTCTGTTGCCTGAGCCAACAAACCCCCTTTACATTTAAGCTGCTTTGGTTTGTTTTCTGCTCCTGGCAGCCAAGAGTCTTAAATGACAGAAATGGGATGCTGTCATGAGCAACTCGCTCCCTGTAGGTGTGCAAGCAGAGGTGGAATGGTAGCCCGTGTAGGACGTGATGGCAGATTCCAGTCTTAGCAGGAGGTGGAGCAACAGATTCCCTCTGCGGTGCATTCTGATTCTCAGAGACAACCTTCCAGGACCTTCTTGGTGAGGTTTTAGGCCTCTTCATTAAATAGTTAGGCAGAGGCCCACCGGCTGACCCACCAGCTGCCTGAAGATGGCATGAGCAGCCACCACAGCCCAGAACAGCCAACCTACCCAACGGACTCATAGACTCAGGAGGAACCGTAATGGGTTGTTGTTTTAAGTCACTAGCTTTGTGTTGGTTTGTTGCCCGGCATTACGATGACGTACGTAACTGGCAGAGGGCATAATGTCTGGACAAGGACATGGGGGTAAATAAGGCGACTGGCAAGTGAAGGGATGGCTCTAATTCTGTTCCTACCATATCTCTCAGAGAAGGTCTCCCAAAGGGTTAGGAGAACGTTGGCCCCAAGTGCTCGGGGCTGGTGGAAAGCTCTGCGGATACCGAGTTCAGTTTTGGAAGATTTCCCCGCTTGTTACCCACAAGCCCCCAGGTTTGGCTGGTAGGAGAACAGATGAGGAAGGCTCGGGGGAATGTGACGTACGAGGACAGTTCAGACATTATCCCATCTAATCCTGGCAGCAACCCGAGGTGGTGGACGTTTTGTCCCCATTGAACAGATGGGGAAACTGAGGCTCAGAAGGAGGTAGTGCTTGTCTGGAGTCACACAGCTGGTGAGGGGAAAGGAGGGCATTGGCCAGTCCAGATCGGTCAGCCTGCACGGCCCAGGCTGCTTCCACCATGCAGGCCCCCGAGAGTGGGGGTCCACACAGCCCCAGCCTGTCCCCTCTCCACACCACCTCCCGGCGTCCAGCCTCACTCTTCCTTGCCCTCGTTGATCTGCTTAGTGTTCGGCCTTTTGACCATCCCCCTTTGTTTAAAATCTCTTCAGCAGATGGAAGGAAACTTGGCAATTACCTCTGCATGCAGCTTTAAGTACACATATTGGCCAATCTTTACAGATTTAATTGTCTATAAAATTACTCTGTGTGCAATTCCCGTATGGATCGTGGGCGCCTTGTCTGCTTCCGACCAGGTGCCCTCTCCCAGGCTGGGGCACAGCCACTCATCAGGGGTCTCAGCTCCTTCATCTGCGAACGGGACAGAGCAATGCAAATAAAACTCAGTACTGTGCCCTGCACGCTGTGACAGCTGCTATTTTAAGATCTTAACCCATGCTTTTCCCACCTCAGTTATGGAGCCGTTTGCCTCCCCTCTGCATTCCTCATCGCTGCTATTTAGTCATACACTTATTGACTCAGGGGACGGGGGCTCCAAGGCAGGAACGAGATGCAAGAAACGAGCAAGGCTTTAAAGGCTCAAAACACCGAGCTCTGCTGAATCCAAGCAGTAAGGTTCACACCATAGGGAGCAGACTGGGAAAAGAATAAATGAAGTGACAGGGTGTTAGCAGGCTAATGGAAGACCCACCCGAGCTCGCCAAAATCTCAGCACGATTTCAGTGGCTCACGTGGTGGACAGAGCCAGAGAGAGAGCTGCTCCAGAGGGTCCACGTCGCCTCTCACGGTCCACCCGCCCTCCCTGCCTTCAACGGGGTTGGATCCTTCCGTGGAGGCAAGGTGGCTGCCGGAGGCTTCCAGGGCCTTCCTCTCACAAAGGGGGCCCTCTCAGAACCCTCCAGCCGACGTCTTCTCTCATCTCCTTGGTCCAAAATGGGCCACACGTCCTTCGCGGTACCAATCCCTGGAGGAATGGCTCGTGCAGATTGGGTACATCCATTAAGAGTTCATCCCCGGGCTGTGGGTCTCTCCCGTCCAATCACGGAGGGGCTCCTGGGGGTAAAGTGGAGCTTCTTAGTGAAGTATTCAAGGCAAAAAGTTTATGCCCCGGTGCATAGACTAGAAAGAAAACAGATGAAGAGCTTACTAAAAACTATATGACCCATATTAAACTACCCCTACTCTAAAGTGGGGTATGCTTTATTCATTCAACAATTATTTATAGGGAAGTTCCTCTGGGGCTCTCACAGTCAAGGCAGTTGTCACTGTCTCTTGCAGAATATGACACCCAGAAGGCAACACAGCTCCCCAGGAGGTCTGACCAGCACAGAGCACTGGGGACCTGGCACCTCTGATAATCGTAACAATAAGTAGCTAACATTTATCAGGGTGTTACTGGCTGCCAACCACTTCATGTATTAACTTGTTCGATCCACGTAAGAGCCCTCTGAAAGTAAGTTCTGTTAACTATCCCCATTTTACAGAAGATGAAACAGAGGCACAGAGGGTAGAAGTGACTTGCCCAAGATCACACAGCTAATCAGCAGAAGACCAGGATTTGTGTCCAAGTAGGTTTGTTCAAGCTTATATGCTCTACTGCCTTGCCTTCTGTGTCGTCATGGAAGTTCACAGAGGGCTCTTGACAGGAGTCATTCATTGACTTGGCAAATGCTAATTGACTGTGCTATGCCAGACAATCTACGAGATATTTAAAATTCATTCATCCGTGTCTTCAACAAGTACTTTTTGAATGCTTACCAAACACTGTATTTAGCTCCAGGAGACATAGTGGTAAATAGTCCTGACCTAACCCTCGCCTTCATGAAATGCACAACCTGCATTTTCTTGCTAGTAATGCTGAGCACACAGTCAGCTAAAGGCTCAGGTCTGTCACGTGCAGTTGTCCAGTATGCACACTGCACAGTGGCACCCAACAGACAGGGCGAATGACGGCTGAAAGCCACCTCTCCGTCACTTGACCAAATCCTCTGCGTTGTTACCTAGCTGAATCTGTCCCCAAAGACATCTTTTCTGTTAATCTCACAGTTTGTGGGTTCGAGCCCCGTGTCGGGCTCTGTGCTGACAGCTCAGAGCCTGGAGCCTGTTTCAGATTCTGTGTCTCCCTCTCTCTCTGATCCTCCCCTGCTCACACTGTCTCTCTCTCTCTCACACACACACAAAAACATTTTTTAAAAAATGTTTAAAAGTTGCCTTTGACATGTCAAGCCACGTGCTAGCAAGTGCCGCATCCACCCAGCAGGGGGCGCCCGCGCTAATTTCCACCAGAGCACTGGGTAGAACAGGACCCCGGAGAAACTGTTCCCACTCCCACCCTCCGTCTTGCAAGTCAGGGTTTTAACTGAGTGGGTCGCTTTGTTTCCAGAAGAGCTGCTGCTGAAATACCCCTTTGGTCCCACACCGATGGAAGGTGTTTGACTCGAGCCCAGGACTCAGGCAGGCCGCATTTCATGTGCAAAGAGCCCCTTCAGGAGGGTTTGCATCACGTCCCAGCACCCACCCACGAGCCTGGGGGGGGGGGGGGGGGG